TTTGAACGAAGTTCAATTTCTCCTTCATCCTCCGTAATAAAAATATAAGTTTTCGGTATAAGTTTGAAAAAGTTATTCGAAACTTTTCAAATGGGGATCATCATTCGAGGCGGATGCAAAAGTTGTGCGTAGACATTTTTACATTATTCTGTAAAAAGCACTTTTAACGATAGATTTTTAAATTAATTAAAAATTAATTTTAGAATTATTTAATATTACGATCGGACAAACGTTGATAGACTTCTCGATCGAATGAACGATTCGATTACGAAACAACACAAAGCACAAAGTTCTCGATATTAATTTTCGATCACGGAAATCTCGGATAATCGCTCGATTCGTTCGATTATTGGAGAACTTCCGGCCGAGAAAGAGAAAGGGATAGAAAGTGTGTGTGTGTGTGTGCGAGAGAGAGAGAAAGAGAGACACCTTTTAATCGAAAGAATTCGGTTTAAAAAGTTGCGACTGAAAGGGCCGATAGTCTTATCGCGCGATGAAAGGACGAGCGTGAGAACGTAGGAAATAAACTCTATTGGTTGGAAGTGATCGAGCAGGGAAATTGCTCCGGTTATAATTTCCAATGACGTCTTGACGTCTCTTCGAGAGTGTTGCAACCTTCTCTCAAACTGTCTAACGTTCTGAGTTGGTGTGACAATAATGATTTAACGAGGCCGTGAAAGTTACAGATCCAAATCTCCGCGAACATTTCATTCACTCGCGATAGATAAATTCGAGCGTTTCCTCACGTTTCACGATTCGTCCTTTCCTTTCCTTTCCTTTTTTTTTTTTTATTTTCATAAATATCGATAACGTTCGTCTAAATTCATAAGCAAACGATTAAATTATCGATGATGTTTTTATATCTTTTCTTTTCTTTTCTTTTTTTTTTTTTTTTTGGTTATTAGATTGAAAGACTCGATTAAAAAGATGTCTACGTCACGAGAAGAGGAATGCCGAATTTAGAGCTCGATCGATCGAGGATCGAGATGTTCGGTCAATCGTGAGGTGTTCGGTGAGATTACAATTTAAGTTCCCAGCGGTTCCAGCCGTGAACAAGAAGAAATTAACCCTTTGCGGTCTGGTTGCTTCACGCGATACGCTGTCCGGCTTGTTTCAGAACCGTATCGATTACGAGGTTAACTTTTTTTTTTTAAATCAAATTATCAGGTAAACGTATTTATTACTCTGTTTTCTTTTTTATCTTATTATATTTTTGCGTGTTTTTTCTTTTTTTTTTTGAAATATTTTCTTCCATAAAGAAATATTCATCCGTTACAAATTTACTTTCTTACTATTATACCTTATAAATCAAATATCTTATTGGAACAGCAAGAACAGAGGCAAGATTCTCAATTTCTATACGATTTTCTAATAATCTTCTAACGAGCTCGTCCGTCCAATAAATAGTGTCGGATCACGATGTCATCCCACGCAACGTGTCGTACACGTTTAGACCGCAAATGGTTAATAGAATTTGATCGGATACGATAAACCGTATCGATTGTTCTGGCAACGTGTAATTGTTTAATCAAGATTGGCGCGTTGCTAAACGACGATCACGACGACGATGCGAGAGTTAAGTGGCATCCGCCTATGATCGATATCGAAGATAACGATTATTTGGCGAAGGGTTTCCCGAACATTTAGGGAATGGAACGGTTAATTAAATCCAGTCGAGTATGATTTAAGGGAGGAATGGAGAAAACGAAAAAGAAAGAAAAGAAAGGAAAAGAAAAGGCAGAAAATAATCCTGTTATTATCGTCGTTCGATTATTGATTTTATGTCACGGTTGGAACGGCGTGTTACTGTGGGTATTACGTGGTCGAAAGGAGAGAAATTAAAGCCGATTGTTAACTATCGTTTTTTTGTTTTTCGCGTGAGATCGAAACTCGATGCACTCGCAAATCTGGCATCATTTGATTGAAAATATTATAGAATTAAATTCGCGAACTGGCGTGACAGGTGTTATTATTGGAATGCACGAATTAATCGATCCCGATCCGTGTAATTTCGCTAAGTATTCTTTATCTTTGATCATTAAAAAAGGCAAGGTGTAAGTTATTTAATTGGTGTAAATTATTTTATTGCCAAGTATTTATATATATATAATATATTGCAGGTATATGGAATACTTAATGAAATTAATTTTCATCCCATCAAATTCGAGGTGTGTGCTCGATTCGGTAATAATCTTATATTTAAAAATGTATTTATTTTCTTTTTTTATTGGCCCCAAGAGGAATTTATCGAATTTATTTTGTCGTAAGGGGGGATAAAATAAAATTCAAGATGGCCACTTAGATATCACGCACGCATTCCTCTACATTGTTGCATAATCAACAGAAATTAACAAATAGATTTCTCTATTTGCTAAATTCAGAAAGAGAAAGAAGAAGAAAAAGGAAAGAGGAAATCTGCATTCCAATAATAACATCGTTCCGCGTCAAGGAAGTCGCAGGATACGTGATACATCTTTCTAGTTTCCCTTCCCTTTTCTTTCGTTTCCTCCATATTTTTTTTTTTTTTTCCCTCCCCGCTCTTCTAGTTTTTCTTCGATTCTTCCTTTCCTGTACACTCCTTGTTCGTCGCATAGTAGGTTTAACTCGACGTTTCCTCGCTCGAGGAACCAAGTATAAATAAAATATTTACTGCGTCGCATCCGTCCAGCCCTGCGTAGGCAGCTAGCCGTCAAACGGCGAGAGTTATATATACAAATATAAATATATAAATATATTTATATTTTTTAGCGATTGTTTTTAATATATATATAAATATGATGAAAGAAGTTTATATAAATATATAAATATGTATATGTTTTTATTTTTTGCGCGCGCTCGAGATGCGAATTGAGATTTTGTTTCGCTCGTGTCATTTGTCTCGAGGGAGAGAGAGAAAAAAGAGAGAGAGAGAGAGAGAGAGAGAGAACATGCGTTTTACTCGTTAGAAAGTATATAATTATTAATATTATTTTTTATTATTGTTATTGCTGTTGGTGTCGTGACACTGTTCCTTTCTTCGAGAAAGTTTCTTTCCCCCCTTCTTTTCATGCTTCTTTTTCGTCCATAGTTTCGAAGTTATTTATGACTTTTATTCGAGGATTTATATCGATACGCGAGTCTAGATGATTTTCTTCCCTTCCTTTTAATTGCATAGTTGTTGACACTTTATTTATTTTTAATTCGAACCGAAGATCGAAATCAATTTTTTTCATCATCCCCTGAACACGATTTTTGGTCGATTTTATTTTTAACGAAAGATTTCTTATTTTTTTTTTTTTTCTTTTAAGACTTGCTCTTTTTAGATTAGAACATTAATATCTCGTCGGTTTAAGTTACGTTTAATATTAAATTGTGGAAATTTATCCGTTCCATTGGTTAAACTGGTATTCTTTTTAGATGCATCTTCTTTTCTTTGAAGATAATTCGTTTAGAGATTTACATTTCTGGTGGATAGTCGTAAAAAAAAAGAAAATGATCATCCGCGTTTTTATTGTTAATAAAAACTTTTTTGCCGGAACGAATCACACGAGCTGAGTGTCTTTTTCTTAAGATCTACGCAAGAATTATTTCGATATCCAAAAGATCGAAAGATTGAAGGTTTATTTTAATAAGAAAAAATTTCTATTCATAATTTCCTAGTGATATCCATCTTGCACAAAATTGATATTGCAATGATCAAAGATCACCAATTCTCTATGTCTTGTTTAACAATTTCAAAGGAGAATAATTAATTCGTAAGAAAATTTCTTCTCCCTCTGTTAAAAGTAATCCTTACGTGTTCAAGATTAATGTGTTCAACATTCTACACGTTAAGAAAAGTTATTATTATTATTATTGTTTAATAAGAAAAATTGTTGGAAAATTTACAAAACAGAAAAAAATCGAAAAAAAAAGAAAATAAAATTGAAAAATCGAGGAGGAAAAAGAAAAAAATAATTCTTTTCTGGATTTCGAAAGAAAAGCGCTTGCGTGACTCGAACTCTGTCTTCTTTTTTTTAAGAAACGACAGTTAAAGTGAGATCGATACGGATTTTTACCCGTGCAAATGTAATCGAATCTTATAATTTAAAAAAAAAAAAAAAGAAAAAAAAGGAAAATTCGTATTTCCACTTTTTTGCACATTTTACTATCGAAATCGATGCAAATCGCGAATATTGTGCGTGTCTCGAGTGAATTTTGTAACTACCCAGTATGACGTTGAATCGAATGCGAGGACTGTATGCGAGGAAATCGATAATAAAGGAATTTCTATGATTCACGATCACAAGTCCTCTTTCTCACTTGCTCGCGCATTCGGGCAACGAACGAATGTATCCACGATCCAGATACAAAAATCCCATCCCCATATTTGCGAGACTCCCCTCCCTCACGAATAAATAAAACTCATCACTTTTCATTTTCGCTTTGCCATTTACCGTGAAAAAAAAAGAAAGGAAGAAAGGGAGAAAAATACAAATGTTTTGCGATCGTGTTTTATTTTTTAACAGGGGAGGAGGGTGAGGGGGAAATAGGGGAGGAGGAATAAAGCGTGACACGGGGTGGTAAAAAAATTAACGTCTCATTTATTAGCTTACAGACTGAAAATGAAAACTTAAAACGACACGGACAACAGCGTCTTTCGGGCCACGCGTCCCTCACGGCAGTACACGGATTCTTTCTACGCATTCTTCTCGTGCACGAACGGAACGATCGGAAGAGATGGAGATGGAGAGAAGGGGAGAAGGGAGAGAGGTGTCGTCGAGATGGGGGGGGATGGGGAGGGGGGGAGGGAAGGAAAGAGAATCGAATGAGAGAGAAAGAGAGGGAGAGAGAAAAGACTCGTTCGTCGTTCAATTGTTTCTGATGCCCTTTCGGTTTGGTTAGAATACCTGTAACTGTACAAAAATAATAATAATAATAATAATAATAATAATCATCTATGAACCACGTCTCGAGAAGGAGGAATAAAACGGATAATACGAGACGTTCGTTATTATTCGTTACTTCATTTGAACGAAAAATGAATGGTCAACTGATCTAGAGAGATAGAATGGCCCGACACGAGGTTCAATGGACTCGAGACTAGTCTTCTTTCGTAACTTTGGCTCGTCGAGGATTGTGTCGTCGCTCCGTTGTCACAGTTTCGTACCTGCTTTTTTTCGCGAGTTTATCGACAAACGTTGGAAAAAAGAGAGAGAGAGAGAGAGAGAGAGAGAGAGAGAAAGATAGAGAAGGGAATCCCTCGAAGCTAGAGTAATAAAAATAATTTACAAATCGCCACTAAACGGTGTCGCTACTACATTAGAATGTTCGTAGATTCGTACAAGATCGATTTTGTTTCGCTTTTTCCTTTTTTTCTTTTCTTTTTTTTTTTTCTTCTTTTGTATAAATTAACCGCATCGTAAGAAAGATCCCCCCGTTCGAGTTGACCTCGATTCGAGCGAACGAGGGGAGAGATGGATGAAATGATAAAAGAAAGATCGAGATAGATAGATAGATAGAGACTTTCGAGGAGGGTTTCGTGCGTTTCGCCACGGAGATCTTTAAGAGCGCGAGGACGGTAGTCTAGGAACCAATAGACACCCCACGAATACACGTCGAATACACGGTTCGCTCGGTTTTCGAAACGAGGAACGCGTCGAGGAACACTTTTGCCAGGCCACGCCTGATCGGCAGTGACTATATTGTTTTTTACACTTTTTTTTTTCTTTTTTTTTCCTTTTTTACATCTATCGAATCGTATCCTTGGTCCGGACCTCTTTGAATTCTATTTCCCTTGGAACAATTCGTGGATTGTCGTCGTTTCTGATTACTGAGATCTCGTATAAGTGTGAATGTTCTCTCTCGCACGTTGCTCGAGGATCGAGTTATTTATAACGTTTTTTTTTTTTAGAAGAATCCTAACAATCGAAGGCACAATTTGAAATGGTCTTACGGTATCGTTCGAGCAACGTACGAAATTTTCGAGATTCGATCGAGAGATACGTATTCAAAGTATATCGAAAGAGCGTTTGAACGCATCGATTCACTCGATCCTGTTATATTCGTCTTTTATACTACATCGACAGTTCATACTTTCGATACTTGGTTCAATTTTTACGGACCTAAGCGTAGATATACAATATACATTCCCTATCAAATTTTTCTATTAGCCAATGTAGGGGATATCGATTCGTTCGCTTTTCGAACGAGAATTGCCAGGAAGGATCGATACGAAAAGAAATTGGTCTTCTTGGAAAAGAGGCGATCCACGGAAATTCGACTCGATGGACGGGACGGGGATGCTCTCAGAAGTAGCCCTCCCTGTCCTTGGGCGCGCTGGAGATGAGTTCCCGCCGTTTCCAGACCGGTTGTGCCGCCCCGCCTCGCTGGTTTTGCCCGGCCCCCGCCGAGGACGCGGAGGAAATGGTGACCGAGGACGAGGACGAAACCGAGGCCGTGCTTTTCCCCGCCAACGTGTCGGAATCGGGGATGTGACGTGTTTGGTGTCTGGAATCCGTGTAACGCCTCTTCGTGTATTTCTTGCTCTCCGAGGAAGTCTTGGCCTGCTGCGACAGGCCGATCCCCGTATCCGGTCTCGAAATCTGCAACATCCTCTCGATATCGGCGGTCTTGGACCTGAAACAAGGCGCTCAGATTGCTTCTGATTCCTCCTTCCCTCTTTTTCTCGAAACAAGAGACCCTGGATGAATTAATTTGAATCGCGTTCCACATTATCCATTAATTAACGTTGATTAATCTTAACAAAAAAGAAAAAAAACGAAAGACAAAAAATCGAAACGGGATAAATAGTTGAAAGCGAGCGAACAACAATGAAACAACAAAAAGCGGCTAGCAACGAGAGCAATCCAATATCCGAGATATCAAGGTGAATGCACCACGGTACGTTGCACTAGATTTCACGAGGGGGTGAACGAACCCTGCCCCAGATGTTTCGCTCGAATACCAGAACGGATGATCCGATCGGCCAATTCCTGCCGAATCGGTGGATTCCCTCACCTCAAAACCGCACCGCCGATGCTCGTGATGCTCGGCGTGTACGGGGCCGCGGTGCTCCTCGACGTCTCGACCTGGCCCGACCTGCCCACCTGCCGCACCTCGCTCGACGTCGTGAACGACACCCTTTGAAGAACGGCCTGTTGGTCGGGGATGTAGGAGACGGCTGTCACCGCGCTGTCGGGGCTGGCCGGTGGCGACGAAGCCCACGAGGGGGGGGAACTCGGCGCCTGGTCGCCCGACAACGTGGCGGAGGAGCCCACGGCGCTGTCGCTTCCGTGTCTTCCACCTGGAATGACAATGACCGTTTCAACCATTCCCCAACGTTTTCATTCGTTCTTCGTGGGTTGGACGAGGTGAGAAAGGAAGGAATACCTTCGCTGCAACCGGAAATGGATCGTTGCCTCTGCCTTCTCGGAGGCGCGCTAGGCTGCTTCGGAGCCTCCTCGATGTAAGGGATGTCCGGATCGTCGAGGTTCAACGTGAACGCTCCGGACATGGGTATGGTGAGGCTGGCGGTGATCACCATGGGCGAGGATCTTCTTCGTGGGTCAGCTGGATCCTCGCTCGACCCGCTGTCCACGCTGTTGCTCCTTCCCTCCTCCTTCCGTCGGCTCCCGGGCCTCTTTGGCCGCCTCGGCCTTGGACCTATGTCACCGCCCACGCCCGCCGTTTGGTGAAGGCACTGCTCCCTGCTCCATACCTTTAACAGTTCCATTGAAATTGTTACTTTCATCGTACAATTGATCACCGACGAACCGTCAATGGGAGAAAATGTATGTTAAATCGAATTAATCATGGAGGAATGAACTTATTTTTATACGATTTCATTGCTGAAAATTTGAAATTTCGCTCGATTAAATCGAGCGAATCGAGATCTGGCATCAAACTTGTCTGTGGAAGAGCGCGACCCTTTTAATTAACGAGTCGATTAAAACTTAAAACATTTTTGTCTTTTCGAAAAGTAAGAGAAAGAGACAGGGTAGGAATATTTATCCCCGTTTGAAGTCGAGCCATATCTTTCCTCGATCTCCTCGAAAACGTTGAATACGTCAGAGCGAATGGTGGAGGGATATCTCGTTCGATCTGGATCCGGTTACCTTTCTGGTCGAGGTGGTGGTCCCGGCCGTGGTCGTTGTCGACGTCGTAAGCGTCGTCTCCTCGACCGAGAAGTTTTCAGCCTCGCTGCATGGATCCGCCTCGTCACCGCATTGCCTGCGAAAAATCCAAACGAAATCCACGCCGTCATCATTTTCCATCCACTGATGTACGCGCCAACTCTCGAGCTGGCTTTTTGCCACGGACTCTCTCGCTCCGATTAACAATTTTCGAGAGAGGATCGAACGTGTAAGGATGGATGAAGAATGGAAGAAATTTTCTAATAGTTTTTTTCACATTGCATTTCACAGTTTTGACGCATTTATGATATAATTTTGAAAGAAGATTATAATAAAACTTAGCGATGTATAAAATTTTAACTTGGTTTAATTGGCTCTCTGGTTGGAAACATGGCGGACAAAGTCGAGCGTTGTGATCAAAGATTCTCCGCTTAAGATTTGGAAGGGTATCGAAGATGAAAGATAGAGAAACGCCATTCCGATACTCACTCTTCGACGCGTCGAGAAAGGGCGAGATCCAAATCGGCCGGATGGGTGTCCATCATGTGCAAGTAGACCTCGTCCAGAAGGGCCGCTGGCACTGTGAATAACGTGGTGGCGTGCTCCAAAAGGGCTCTGACCACGTTTATCACGTCTATCCTTTCCTCTGCCCTCTCCGCGGACACCTCGGACCTTTGCCCTGGCTTCACGCAGTGGAGGATGTTTGGGGCGAATACCTTGGGGAGAAAAAAAGAAAAAAAGAATCGTGAACAAATTAATTCAACTTTGAAAAGGAAATCAGGAAGTTGAATTTTTTCGAACAACGAGTAGTAAATAACAACGACAATAATAATCCAAACAGATTGAATGCCAAGTTTGTAAAATCTATCTAAAAAAAAAAAAGTATGGAATCCAAGTGTATGGAATCACTTTTGTCCAAAAAATTTTTCAAAAAGCTCACGAAACTATTTCATTTAAAGCATCGAGAATTTCAACGTAGCTCACCGTGGCCAAGTTGGTCGTGTCCATCTTGTTCCCCGCCACCCATTCACCCCTCTCGTTCTTTTGATCTTCGCTGTTCGCCGCCACCACGTTGAGAAAGTTCAAAAGTGCCCAAAGAGTCTCGCGGTTCGGCGTTGGCAGCAGTTGGACGAGATGCTGAAGTGCCTCTTGCTGAAGTCTCCTGTTCCGGATCTCTGTTGGGAACGAGAAGATCGCTTTCAATGCGCGGGCAGATAACTGGTCGAGGAAGATAAAATTGTATCGGCGAACAGGGTGACAGGATGGAAAAGCTCTTTTATTTCATCTCTGTAAATACTTTTACAGGTAGGTTGCCGTTATTCGTGATGACTCGTATCGCAATTTTGTATTCGAAAATTTCAAAACATATTTCAAGATATGTAGATTGGTATTTAACTTGCAGCAATTGATTTGAAGAATTAAGGATATATTCTTAATTTTGTCTTATCCTGAAAGTTCGAGAAAATTATTGAAGAATATACGTGGATATATCGGTTTTTCAAGCAAACGGAGAACGTGAGTTTATCATAAGGTACGTAATTAATTTCTATCGAGTAACTGTAAAAATTTAGTTGAAAGAATATTTTATATATTATTGGGAATTATTTCTCCGTGTTAAAAAATTGAGGTAGAGCTCTATTTGTTAGAGTAAATAGTTCAATTTTGGATTTTATCTAGAAAAATATATCTCGAATTTCAATAATAATAAATTATCAATTTCGTTTAATTGGATTTATTTACGTGTTGGCGTAATCATGAATTTTTATTTTAATGGTCGCGGGTGTGACGATCGATACATTAATCAAGCTTAAATACTCCAATAAACTGCTTAACTTGAGCGGCTTATATCGTTTGATCGTAATTTTTTGCTTGCCCTTACTTTGCGTGTGGACGAAAGCTTGATAGAGATCCCTGCACAGCAGAGGGTCGGGAAGATCACGAAAATACTCCTTTAGAAGGGCTGCCACGTCGTGCGGACATTGATCGGGCCCGATTTTTGTCTCGCGACCACAGTCGAAATCTTCTCTCAACTGAAACAAATCAAGCGTGATTTTACTTTAAATATCGAACCACGAACGAAAAGAATATTTAAAAACTTCAAAATTTACATTCGCAGTGTCGAAAAGAAGAAAACGTTTGATTTAATTTCAATCACGTGTGCGAAATCGAACATTAAAAAATTCCTTTCCTTCTATATTCGAGAGATTAAAAAACACAACGAAACCAGATTTGGAATAATCCTTAATGGGTTAAAACATTGCGAGACAACCACCTGTCTGACCCTCTTCTTCGAAGGCGACACCCGGAAAACGCCCAGTGTCCGGAGGCCGGTGTTTTCCAGGTGCCTGATGCATTGTCTGACTATTCCTGGAACCGCGTCCCATTCCCCTGGAGGGCCTCCTCCACCGCTGTCGCTCAGCTCGAGCACCCCAGAGTCGCTTCCGGTTAGAGCTCCACCTTTGGACGACAGCGACTCGGACGAGCCACCCTGGAAAACAAGTTTATCAATCGTGATTGTTACGTATCCAACGAAAAGTTTGTTCGAGTTCGAATACTTTCTCTGCTTGCAAGAGAAGAAAAGGAAAAAAAAAGGAAAGAAATCGATTCGATTCGAGAATTCCTCGTATCGTAGAATGAAATTATCGTAGATTGATTTATTCGAGGGAAATATTTATTCCCGTTATTTATCGCGGATTTTTTTTTTTTCCGTGAAATTTTTCTTCTGTAAATTACGTAGGTGAAATTTACAGCTTGACGGTTATGGATTATTTTGGAGCGCGTAGTTGTTGTAGTGCATCGAAAACACGTGTTGTGACGTAGAACGGAAATACAAATGCGATTACGTATAACGATTAGGGATCGGGAAGGTGCTTCCTGTGTTTTAGCTCGAGTTTTAGCTACAATGTTTGTAAAATTTATTGGGTTAAGTTAAAAGTAATCACGAATAATAATTTATAAAGGTATTAAGTATAATATCGATAAGTTGAATTTTGGATATTATTCAATTTTTGATTTTGATAATAGAATTTTAAGATTGGAATATAAATAGAAAAAGAATATGTTTAAAACGATACAAAACTGGATTTGAAAATAGTTTAAAGGGAAGATAAAATGATTAATTTCACGTTAAATAAAATTCATTTTAAAAAGGGGCCAAATTTTCTTCTACAATTTTCATTTAATTATTCAGTATTGAAAGATATAGATTCAAAATTTTTAAATATCAATTCGATCAAAATTATTAAACAAAATTATCGAAAACAAATGTATTTATCCATTTATTTAAACTGCGAATTTTCTTAACGTAAAATCAAATTTTCATGAATATAATTGAGAAAATGAAAAAATTAAACAGAATTTTTTTTTATTTCTCAAATATGTAACAATACCTATATTTTTAGATATCTTTTTCAGTACATTCAAATTTTCCATATAAATGCACGAATATCCGGAATCCATTGATACCTAATCAAAGCCACCATTTGTAAAATGGATCCTAAAAGGGTTGAATAATCTCGATTCGACCGAAATTGCACAAAGAACCGAGCCAATCCAATACGTCTGATGCGCGTCTAGCCTTTTTTAATGGACGGGTTTGCGCGTCTCCTCCATCCGGTCTGACAGAAAATCTTGCAAAATTTAGGTATCTTAATTAATCCGGATCTAAAATTAACGCTCTCTGATCTCGGTTCTATTCGTGTCCCTAATCCGTGACGTAGACACGAGCTCGGTATATACGTGACGTCGACGAAGGAAGTGCAACGATACGTCGTAATAATCCAGTTTGGATCGATCGATCGGCCTTTCTATTTAAACACGTGACATTTTCACGTTGTTATCACGCGTTTCGATGATTCAAATCGAAGACCGAAATCGAATTATCGATCTCGTCAATTGGCTAAATTGTCTGGCTCATTCGTCTGGTTTCATTGTTGGCCATATATTATATTAGCGATTATATTATTCCTGTATTTCTTGGATGTCGTTCGTTTCTATAACTTCTCCTTCCTTAAAATGAACGTGTTTTTTCACGGCTCGAATTTCATTTTGGTAGTTTCAATCGTATTAATAAATTCTTTGACGAGAACTCGAATAATTGTATTTCGAACGATTCGTAATTTTTTTGTTAAAATTCAATGAAACGGAGTTAAAAAGAGGAACGGGTATAAATAAATAATTAATTCGTATAAAATTACGATAAATAAGGATGGAAAATGGGGACGAATAATTGGTAAGGGATCAATGCTATACGTTCGAACTTTTTTAAATGATAGACGTCAACAAAATGACTGATTCATCATTCTCCTATCATCGTATGTAGATCGTACATGTACTCGATTGAGTAGCGGAAGTGGAGGATGCTTTCGTAGGCGCCACAATAAATCAACGCTATTTTCACAAATGTGTGTGAATCGAGTCTTTCTATTTCTCGTATCGATCATCTATTTCCAGAAAAACGTTTCAGAAATTTCACAGTTTGAAATCCGTCTCTCTAAATCCATCCTCCCGTTCAAAAAATAACCTGTCTAAAATTAATTGCAAAAATTCCCTAAAATTAACTTGCGCGTAGAACAGAACACACTCTCCCGATTATTCCAATGAAATCGTCTTTTCATTTTATTCTAAAATGTTTAGCTTCCTCTTTTGTTGGAAAATGCACACGATCAACTGTCCTATTTGCCAGCAAACTATCCTCGATCAATAGATCCGGGAAAATGTATTAAAGCACTTCGTCCCAGAAAAAAAGGAAGTCTCGAAGATGGTGGATTTAGTTTCTGACTCGTAACCGGCGGAATTTCTCTTCCACGCTGGAAAAATCCCGCCCACACACTGCGTCACGAGCACTCGTAAGGGGGACCCCTCAATTATTTACATCCCGAACAGAGAATTCCAACTTTCTCGCGGGGGAAATAAATCGAACCACTTTGTATACATCCATGTAAGAGCGAAGAAAAGGGGAAGTTGGGACGAGTTCGCTTTCCATTTATTATCCCACTTATTAATTATTTGTCGTGACCGTTTATCGTCACTATTCTATTTTAGATTTTTTACCTTTGGATGGAAAATTTTTATCACACCCATATTCCTTTTTCCTCCCTGTTGCTTTATTTATATACAATGTTTATTCATTTTTCAAGATACGATATTTGAAATTCCATTTCTTTATCTATTATATTGGAAATTTGGAAAATTATCATTTCGTACAGATTTCTGAGAAGGAAAATTTTAGATTTTCTCGAATATTTCAAAATCCTAGATTTTAAATACATTTTAAACAAGAAAGATAGTATACATTTTATAAATTTTCTTTACTATCTTGGATAATTTGGAGTATCCTTAAATTTTAATATGACAGAAATTGTTGGAATTTTTTTATTTTTTCCATTTCTACTTTTCCATTTTTTATATCATCTCTTGCACAATTTTTTTTTTCCAATCATAATTACATTTGATACACAAATTTATTGACAAGGATTCGAAACGTTATTCGAAATAATACCAATTTGTAACGGGCTATAATATATAGACTGACAGAATTTACGCGAAATCAATAAAATATATTGATGGAAAAATGATAGATCGATCGTGGAGAGAGACGAATTGATATTGATGTAGAGAGTGTGGAGAACGATGCTGGAACAAAAATCGTCGATGCCTGGCTGAAATAAATTTTCAAACGTGAACAAATCACCCCGCCATAAACCGAAAAATCAATACGCAGAAACGTAAACGCTTGGAAATTAAATCTGATCGCGTAAATCAAGAGGCGCGGGTCGAATCTTCGATCTTTTCTTAAAATAACGCATCGTGAACGTCTGACTTCTTGGATGGAAAACGTAAAAGAAGAAGAAGAAGAAGAAAAAAAAAAAAAGAACGACGATGAAAAAATGAAGAAGAGGATTCGCGCTCATCGGCCAGGTGGCGCCGGTGCTTCTTAAATCAAAACATTTACTTCCGGTCGCGATGGAGGATAGTTCTTTTCAAAAAAAAGAAGAAAAAAAGAAAAGAAAAAGAAAAATAGATTCGAGAAGATGAAATAGGTGAACGTCAAGAAAATTTTAGAATCTCATTATCGATATTGTATTAACTCTTGTTCGACGTAACTCAAAATATATAGGGTGTCTCGAGAGTAATAATGATGGAATAAAAGGAAAATTTTTTCTCTTTTCATTTCGCACAAGTTAATTTAGTTGTTCCTCGATTAAATTTCAAAAGATCCTATAGTAAACAAATATTTGTGACTTTTTAAAAAATTTATGAACATAGCTAGAGAAATGGAATTTAAATAGAAATCTTTCGTTTCGTTCTTTCCTTATATTACACTTTCCTCTGAACATTTTTCTATATTTAAATTATCTACAAATGCATCTAGATACCCGCATTATTCTATTGATAGAATTAAACAAACATCTCTCGATATGTTCCTAAAATTACCATTCGCTTTATTAACCAATCTCGCTCCAAATTTCACGACCAAACCAAATCGTTCGAAAACCAAAAAAAAAAAAAAATACACCCTACTGTTCCTTTAAAAATTCACCCGAAACACGTGTCAACACATTCTCGAGAACGACTTCGACCAGCCCATCCCCCTTTTCCAAATTTCCAATGGAGACGAAAACTCGTCCGATCTCGATCGATCGAATGGAAAACATGAAAAGATAGATTCGATCGTCCATTTAATTGCGAGAAACTGTTAATTCGAATCTCCGGTAGGAGATGATTTTTGGCAAGGGATCGGTCGTGGTGCACGGTCGGGTATATAGAATAAACGGGTGTACTGCCGGCGTCGTTCTGACGTCGTCCGTCAAAAAATAAACCACTTTGCGTCTCGCCCCTTACTCGCAAAGTGGCCATCGATAAACGCCCTCGTCGCAATCTGACACTGACGCAATCGATGACGCCGTTTACGATCGTATCCAACACATCCGTCACGCGACGCCTCCTTCCAACTTTCCTTCCTTCCTTCTTTCCTCCTTCGTTCGAGCCCTCCTCCCTTGACCTCGGATCGTTTCGATGAAACACATGTGCGGCGATCACGTGACGCGATCGATGTGCACACGTCGATGGATGGATGATATAACGTACGTCACGCTTGTCGCGTGGTTTCGTAACGAGATGTCTACGATTTATTCTGAACACGTTCACAGTTGGATTGCAAGTTTGGAAGAACGAAAGAAGAAAGGATGGGCTATCGTCCTTAGGATAGAAATATTTTGGAAAATATCGGGAAAAATTGAATTATCGGAAATTTATAATGCAGGAAGGATGGAGTATCGTCTAAGGTTGGAGTGTTGGTATTGCTGAAAATTTGAAACGTGGAAAGAAGTATGGTTGTAGAATGTGAAAGGATGGAATGGTTATAAAATAGGGGTGCAATAAATATAGAGTACGTTGAATGAAACGTGTGTGGAGGGAAGTAGATTCAAAGCTCTTTTGTACATCGTTGCAATGTTACATCGAGCTGTTTATCAAAGAGTTATTTTAATATGTATTTCTATTTATGTGTAACCCTTTCAGTGACCAATAAACTTCCTACGTTGCAGGGTTATCTGGTATTCTAATTAAACGCTTTTATATAACGATGATAAAAACGATGAAAATTTAAAAAATGCAAAAGAAAAAAAAAAGAAAGGAAAAAGAGGAGTAAATCTATTTTTGAATTTTAGATTCTATCATTTTTATCGATTTCCTATATCGATTGAATTTTTATGAAGGTATAAAGATAATTTTTACATAAATAATAATTTTTTTTACCTCTATCGTCTTTCTACATGCATCAGCCGAATTTATATTTGCAACTTCCTTCTCATTTCCAGGATTTGCACATTCGTATCAATAAAGCTTTTTTACAAACGTGATTTCCCCGTAGGCTCGCGATCGAATCACGTTACACAACCGATTAACCTGTCTAAATAATTGATTTAAAAAAAAAAAGGAAGAAAAAGAAACGAGTAGCATTAAAAGACAAATAAATTTCTTTCAGATTAATCTAAAAAAACAGGTGACTCTAGTTTCCCTTCTTCATCTGTGTTCTCACCTCCTCGTCATCGAGGAAAGCGTGCAAAATTGTAAATCTACTTCTATCGCACGTGTGTAATTCCGACTTCTGCGATAGTTTCTAGCTGCCAAGATAAACGCCACATTGTTACCCGTCTCGGCGATTATATATGATTTCTACTTCTTAATTTTATTATATATGAAATTCCTTGGTATTTGATGGAGCGCGTTTGATTCGAGGAAGAGGATCGATCATAATTATCGATCAATTTGCGCGCGTGACGCGATTGGCCGACTGCATACGGAGTTGCACTACTCGAGGAACGAAATTCACGGTGTATCGTATCGAAGAGAGTATAGAAAAGGAAGAAGATTGTTCTTGAAGCGTGCTATTTTTATCTATCCTATTAAATATAATTTTCTTGAAACACTGTAATTGCTAATAACGATGCTATAACTCAAAATTTGTGTCGAGTTATTGATGCAGAAGGAATCCTTATCATTCTTCCTACTTTATGTCTTTGTCATTAGCCACTACTTGTGATTTTTAATATTTATCTATTTTTATATCCTATAAAAGAAACATCGGAGAGATATCACCGAATTTTTTCATCTCAAAGAGAAAATGATCTTTCGCCGACTGTGCTAAATTTTTCAAATTTTCCAAAATTATTACAAAAAAGGGTCTGTTCGAATGAAAAAGAAATGGTTACCTCGTCGGTCTTAGCAGCGACGGTCGGCTCGATCAGGCTCGTGAAACTCGTTCTGCTGCCGTGTCTGCTGCTCCTCGACAAGCAGCCAACATCCGAGACCTCACCAGCGGCGATTCTAGCGATCCTATCGTTCTCCAAACACTGTGACAGCGGTATGCCAAATACCAGGCCACCGGCCGAATCTGAAACAAGGATGGATCATTTCGATCGTATCGAAAATATACGCCATGACATGGATGAAGAACTATCAGTGAATGATGTGTAACTGTGTTAACAGATGTGTTAAACTTCGATAACGTGAAAGAGATTATTAAGATCGATGATTATTAAGAGAGAATTGAATTTGTTGTTTTTCTTTTCTTTTTTTTTTTTTTTAATTAAATATTTCAACGCGAGATTCATTTAATCTCGGGATCGTTTCGATCGCCAAAAAGAAGATCTCGTCTGATCTACGAGTGGTCAGCTGCGTCCCAAAACGCGTAAACACCGCTTATTTACACGCGCGTAAACTGTTTGTGCAATTTATAGGAAATTGTGTTTTAACGTGTTGCTTGCGGGGATAGGGTAAATAGGAGTTTTTCGAACGATTTTTTCAGATAACACGCGAGAAAAAAGCGCGTAAAAATTATTTGTCACAAATAATACGAGAGCCTAGACATTTTGTGTGTTTCGGTATATTTAGGATCTCTTGTATTTTAATTAAAATTTTGTTTAATTTTATCAGTTAATATTGTCAGTTAAATTATTGGAGAAGATCGTGGAAATGGATAATAATTAACCAAGAGGAATATTTTTGCACAGTTTTTGAAACACAGTTTTGTCGGGCATAAAATCCACAATTAGAAAGTGAGAAAAACTTGAACGCTTTGCCGAGGGTTTTACTTTAAAATCGGCGACGTGGACGTTTGATAATATTTCGGCTGGCCATGAATGCTTCGACCACTTTATTTTTGGTACTAAACCGGCTGGTTGTTCGGCTAAGTTCGCGGAAACGCGTCGTCCCACCTTTCGAATTTCATCTTATTACTTCTTAATTGCTCGCCATCGCTTGCCAAATCCACTCGCGAATAACAATCGGCTTACGTCTTCCTGTTCCTGGGATCATTACTTCGGAATGGGTACGATATCGATGAGGACGAAAGTATTCAAAAGACGAAAAAAATAAAAGTGTAAAGTTTAAAATTGTTTTTAACTTAAAGATTATCACGAAGATATAAAAAAACGAAGAAGAAAAGAAAGTGAAAATTCATTTTTCGTCAATCTCTTGATATTTTGATTTCGTGTATAATGGAGGAAATTTTATACATATTACCATAAGTTTAACCGTTTTAATTTCCAATTAAAATTCTTGCGATAATAATTTCTCCTCCATTACAATCAAAATGCATCCACTTTAATTTTAACCAACACTCTGACTTTCGATTAAAATTTCTATAATAAAAATTTCTCTTCTAATTAATAATAAGAGAGGGGGGGGGGAGGAGGGGAAATGTGACAATAATGCATCCCATTTTAATTTTTAATTTAAAATTTCTTTTCTATCAAAATCAAAAAGAGAAAAAAGAAGAAGAAGAAAAAATGAAAATGCATTCACCCCTGAATGGTTAAAAGACACGTGTGAATGGGTCACGTGTTTCGAATGTGACATCGCTTTAAAAGAGGACGTCATTTAAGTGACGTATCATATGATCAAATATGTCAGAATTTTGCCTTCTCTCCCTTCTCTTCCTTTCCTTTCCTCGCACCACGCGTAAGCCAACTGAAAGGCAACAAACCTTGTCTCTATACCGGTCCGATTATAGATCACAATCTGGGCCATCCCAGCCTCTCCAAACCAGCTCTCTCTCTCTCTCTC